TGGCTACGCCTCTGTCAAGCAGCGCAAAAATTAATCAACTAAACGTTAATCTAGATTATAATCTCACTGTTTTCAGGGATCTCACCTCATCGACGCTGCATTCCCTCTCGCAGGTGCTCTGCGCATCAACCCAAAGATTAGAGTTCAGCTTGTTTGGACAAAATCCTTCGTGTTCAGCCGTGGATCCTGCCACACCACTTAGAGAAACATCCACACAACTACACATCAAAAGCACCCACAATAACACGCGCGTCCACGTCCACGGCACTTTGTTTTGCCTCCTTTTGTCTCTTGACAGCCCGAATTGCAAAAGTTGGAGAAATATCTCAGACATTGTGGCTGTTTTCAACCAGTAATTCCATCCCTCCAACGAACAAAAATAAATAAATAAAAAAGCGCGTGATGTGTGATGAGTTTTGGAATGAGCGCGTGCTAATTGGGCCGCTTTAAGATATGCTCCCCGGATAATTAAGGTCCACAGCGACAAAGAGGAGAACCCTGAGGGACAGGAGGAGGACGCAGACTGTCCACAGTGGGAGACAGAGGGGAGGCAGCAGCAGGCAGTGGGAATGGAGGTGGAGAGGGCAGCCCCCGCCCCCCCCCCATGGCCGACCAGGGTCCGAAACTTTTATGAAGCAGCACCGAGAGCAACGCAACTGCACAAACATAGTAAAAACATCAAAGTCGGCTAATTGAGAAGAAAAGATGGGGCATTTTAGAGGAGAAACCCATTAACGTGATGATTACAAAGCCTTTTTTTATATTTATATATAGTGGATTATTGGTGTGATGCGTTAATTTCTCATGATTTTCTTCCCAGCGGTGCAAAGGAGGCCAAACAGAGGGTGTGTCGCAGCGTGTCTTCCTTTGCGCCCTTTTCTTGTCTAGACATGGGGTCAGTTTAGCACCGAGGCCTCATTGACGCTTGGCTCAGAGATGCCTCGGCCAGGTGGGAAGGCGTAAAGAGCCTCATTTTCAGCAGGGTGTGACTCAGCTTTGTTATACCCCCCACCCACCCCCTCGGTTCCATTGCAGGCCTCCTTCCTGCTCATCTTTTCATTGGCAGTGACCCTGCAACCTTTACGTGACTTCTGACCCCCTCCCCTCACCCCACCTCGGTTATCCCTCACTGGCCAATAGCTGCTAATCAATTCAGCTCCCCCTCACCCACAGGTTTAAAGCACTTTAACACCAGCAGCCCTGGACTGGACAAAGGGAAGGAGCATGGGCGTAGATTTGCATAGGGACCATAGGAACATGTCCCTACCAACAATTAGATGTGAATAACATGTTTATAATTTACAATAGCTGTTGCAGCAGTAGAGGAGTTCTGGATGGAGAATGTTGACAGACGAAAACATTTTTGGTCTAAAATGCAAAATGTTTATTTTATTTATTTATTTTTTTACAATTTTGGTATAACCCTGCTGTAAGTGGGTCCGCTCTGTGAGCTAAAGACAAGTTTTAGAGCAGGCATCCCCAAAGGAGTGCCGCTGTCCTGCAGGTTTTAGAGGTTTCTCTGCTTTAGCACAGCTGATTATGACAATTGCAGTTCAACAAAAGCCTGTTAATCAGCTTTTAATTAAAATCAGCTGTAATGGACCAAGGAAAACTCTAAAGCCAGCAGGACAGCGGCCCTCAAGGACTGACTTTTAGAGTCTCTATACTCCAGTTAACGATTAATAAATTACTAAATTTGTTGACGTTTCAATAATCGATTATTCCTATTAATTGTTTCAGGCCAAGATGAAATTCATGATATGGTTTAAATAGAGTAACTACAACCTAGATGACCTGTAGAGTGAAATTAATATTCTAAATACTCAGTGTCAGTTCCAGTGCACATGTAAATACAATAAATTTATTTGGCGTCCCTTTAATCTATTATTTTTGCTTTGATTCATGATACAAAGAGAATATTTGAAAGATAAGAGTGGGGTTTACCTCTGCACAATTCTATATCTTCAAAAGAAAAAAACAGGATAAATGCACATATAACAGAAATATTTAGACTATATTTTGTTAAATAAGCACAGATTTGCTTTCTGTCTTAGTTGCTGGTAATTTCAAATGCAAACCTTTTTCAAAGTGGAAAAAAAACATTATTCCTCATTCAGCCGGTGATGCTTCAAACATCGATAAACAGCATCTAGTGTGTGTAGCGCTTATAAAATTTGTACAAATGTAGCAAGAAATGCTGCTTTTCATAGCATAAAAAAAAAAAAAAACAAGCATGCATATTTTTGCACAGGACCAATGACATCAGATCAATAGTGTCCCTACCAAAGTTGAAATCAAACCTACGTCCTTGGGGAAGAGGGGGAAATGACTCCCACAGTGAGGGGCTCTGATACATGTTTGAATTGGAGAGAAAATTATACATGAAAAAAATAAAACCTGTCTCATCTTTTTATGTTTAAGTAATCTCAGTGACATCTGTCTAACATTTGGATCAATCATCTTGGCCTAAATGTGCAAATATGGTTCTGGAGCATTGTTCTGATCTCACACTTGGCATGAAGAGGAACCGTGGAAACATGAGAGCTGAAATAATTAAAACACCAACATTATCTGCTTGGTATTTGACTTTTAGATGGAGTAGATGATATTTTAGTTTCCATTTATATATTTCAGAAAAGATCACAGAAAACACTTTGCATGTTGTTTATGATAAAAAAAAATTACGTCATCTGTCACTTTCTGAAATGCCTTCAAATGAAATATGGGGAAATCTTAAAGAATGGAGTCTAGCAGGCATCATCGGCTGCTCTCTGGTTAAACACTTTTAACTCTTTATAGGGCACTCGGTGAAATACTTTGACAATCCCAATTTCAGGCCAATAGTGTTATTGGAATCCAGGACAAGAACTTATTAACTTTGTAACATTAAAAAATATGGATTTTTTTATGTCGAAAATGAATGTCAATGTAATGACAACAAACACAAACTTGGTTGAATATATTAAGAAAAATAACAAAAGCGCTTCTATAAGAAATTCATTAAAAAGTGTAAAAGAAACCTTTTCTGGTCCAACATAACCTTAGAGGCATTAATGCTGATACTGGCACTTACATTTTTTGGTTTATAAAATTAAATGTAATTCTTAACTAGGCTTATTATCTTTTCAATTTGCTTTTTACCTTTCTTTTTTTCTCCAACTTAATTTACAGTAGGTTGTATATCAATTAAGGGCTCGTCCAATTGGTCAAAGGCCAAAACAAGATGTATAGCCATGTAGCAGTAACTTTGCTGAATGGCTGGATACAGATCTAGTGCTTCTAGAACTCACTGAAGCTCCATTTGTAAGGGGTAGGGAAGTGATCAAAAACAGTAACTTGTCCTATAATGGGTTAAAGTTATATTATCAAACTTGCTATAGCTGCCCCACCTCCACTTGTTGCTGTTCAGACAGCTGAAACAAACAATACCCTTTAAATTTACATAACAAAAACTTTATATATCTTACATCGGTTTCCTTTTCACGTGGTTACGGAAGGGTATGGAAATGATCCCCTGAATAAAGGGAATATGAATGAATCAGACCAGAGAAAAAGACCAAACAGTGCACTAGTTTGTACAAGTTGTGTTTTTAATAAGAGCTGCACAGAGATAAAAACCAACCATGCCTTTGATAGTTAAAAAAAAAAGTAAATAAAAAAAGCCGATCATATTTAGGAGGTTTAAAAAGTCAAGACATCATGTATTGGCAAGTGAACCAATGAGCGGTCCAAGATGAATTAATAGTTTTGAAAACCAGGAGCTGTAGTTTTTTTTTCTCCATTAAATTCCACTTCATTATCAAACATTAAAAATCAAACTCAGCTTTGAATAAATAGCACATCAGCTGTGAGTTTTTTTCCTGTACAGAAAGGCCACAAGACACATAATATTGAAGCACGTCTGCCAAAGCAAGACATAAAACATCAGAAGCTCTTTAACATAAAAGCCACCCATTTACAAACATACATGTATATATGTACACGTATAACTTCAAGTCTAGCTTTAAATACCAATAAACAAGATTTTGCCTTACAGAAGGGAATCATCTGTAGTGTTAACTGGTGAGCGATAACCATTGATTCACATTAGTTGGTCCCCAGGAAATCATCCTTTACTTGATAGAGAACATTTAACCGAACATCCACAAGGTGGCATCGGTGAGCAAAAGGAGAACAGAAATCAGTCCCTCAGCCCAACTTCACCCCCCATCATCAAATAAGTTCATTTCTTGATTCACCTCTGACTGGTGTGAGCTCTACATGATCTCATCAGCCTCATGATCTCTTGGAGCATCAGCTTCAATATCAGCAAAGTGGAGGGAAGATTCCACCGCCCTCTGTCACTATGAGATTTTACAGTTGCTCTTGGAGGAGGAGGAGGTGGACGATGACGAGGATGATGAGTACTTTGGTGGACTCTGAGGAGATTTAAAGGACTTTGAGCGTTTGAGACTGTTGGCTTTGCTTCCACCGCCACTGCCACCTGAAGCTGTGCTGTTAGCAACCGAGTACGAGCGTCCATGCATCATGACGGCGTTCATGCCATTGGCCATAGAGAAGGACTTAAGGTGGGATTTTATTGCAACGGGAAGCGGCAGCTTGTCGATGAGGTGCACTGGTGTGCAGGAGACAATCGATCTGCAGCAGAGATCCTGGAGGCTGAAGACTGTGAAAAAGATTAACTTGGATAAGAGTTTTTCCAAACAAGGTATTCAAT